TGTCTGGGTTGCCAGAGAGAGGGCACAGGATACAGCCTTCTCTTGCTGTTTACTTATTCTTTTGTCTTTAAAATATTCACAGCAACCAGACAAGAGGAAGTTGCTGGAATCCGGGCAAAGTTCCCAAACAAGATCCCGGTAAGACTCCATTGTGCTTTTTGAAAAGGAGTATGCCTTGTGTCTTGAAACAAAAACAAAAACAAAACCCCAAATATAAGAAGAAGAACAAAAAAAAATCCCCACTGGCTCTCCCTGTTCTATGTTTCTAAGGCAGTGAGAGCTCTGTCACATTCTTAGGGGTTGACCCTCTTGACAGGTGATAGTGGAGCGCTATCCCAGGGAAAAGTTCCTGCCTCCGCTGGACAAGACCAAGTTCCTGGTCCCTCAAGAGCTGACCATGACCCAGTTCCTCAGCATCATCCGGTAGGTGACCAAGTACATGCGGCGGCATGTGCTGGGCTTTTTCTGTTTGCTTTGTTAGTTGGTTTGGTTTTGAGGACGGGAGCATTCTGGAAGAGAGGGAAAAAATTTTCTCTGTGACTCACCTTTTAGCATCTGTAGTGCCCAGGAAAGATGCTCTGAGAACTAATCCAATTTAAACAGGTGGGGGAACCCCACAGATAACAAATCTAAAGAGAGTAACTTTTCTAAAATGTTTCAGAGGTAGTCTTGGCTCTGAAACTAGACCGAAAGTGCCTTTCCTCTACATGCTGTTTAAAACCCAGTCTGCATTTTCCCAGGAGAGACACAGTACCTTTAAAGGGTGTGCGCACCAGGGGATTGTGGACCTCTTCAAAAGGCAAATACTCCGTGCACTGCTTAGACCCTGGGTGGCAGAACACGGAAGGAGTGCCCACACGTGCCCCTTCCTTGGGTTAAGGCACAGTGAAGAAAATGGAGCAATTTTTAAAGTTTCAGAGGGTTAAGTAGTGTCACCCGACACATGGATTCAATAAAAATGACTTGGGAGTAATGTGAATACCACCCGGGAGGTAATTCTTCACAGGGTTGAAAAGTCCGGTGAGGCCAGCCCTTGCAAGCTGCCTAGATGCTTGTTGCTTGGAGAATTCATTATGAATGTGTGTTGCTCTCGGTTTTGTTTGTCTTGGTGAGTTCTTTAAGAGCATCCTGATTTCCTCTCCTCAGGGAAGCTTACGTTGGCCCAGTGTGAACAGAGGTTGCTAAGGGAGCATGAAAGTTAGGATTATATCCCAACATGTTGATGTAACATAGGGTGACCTCCCCTCCCCCACCTCCCTCAGAAACAACCCTTTGAGTTCCCAGAGCTATTCTTTTTCTCCGTCCCAGACAAGAGTCATCTCCTTTCCACCAGCCCTGACCCACTCTCCATCCCAACTTTTGATGCTCCAGGATGTGTGCTGAGCATCAGTTATGTTCTGTGTTCTTTCTGGGCTCTGTCTTTACAGCAGTGAAAGAATAGACAAAATTCCTTGTCCACAGCCTCCTCCTCCAAGGAATGCCACAACCCCCATGGAAAGAGAGCATGGCCAAGGACAGGAGATGGGGGTGTAGACTCTAGGAGCAGAGTTCCCTGCAGAGCTGAAGGCAATGCACTCGTTCCCAGCTCCACCCATACCCATCACAGAACACTTCTTTTTTACCCAAAGACAGCCATGCAGTTGTCAAAGCCAGAATCTCTGGGGTTATTTTAGGAAGGGTTATCTAGTTGTAAAATTAATCAGCTTCCAGCCACCTGTGTCCCAAAGCCACATGGACCTGAAGGTTCGAAGCTTTGAGGCCAGAGTGGGCAGGTTGGGCTGCCTCTGCAAGCAGAGCACATGGAAATGTGCTGCAGGGGGTGCAGAGCCCTTACCTGGGTGTCTACATCATCACATCGTCCTCCACTCCAGGATGAGCCAGGCTTCAGACTGACCTTGACATTTACAGCATGTCCAATTGAACTTTGCTGTTTCTCCATTTCCTTGAGGTGGGGGAGAGATGGCCAGGGGCAGGTGGGTTTGGGGGAAGGGCACACTCGGAGGCAGCAACCTTCTAAAATGTCATCCCAAGGCTGTTTAACAGTGAGATGCTGGAAGATATTGTAATCACCTTTGTATGTCTGGGGATGTGCAGACCTTTGGTTTAAGAGCAAAGAGCTTATTTGCTTAGCATGTTTGTGTTGGTGTGTCCCCTAGTAAACGATAGGATCGCCTCACCCTTTTGGCCCAACTGGGAGAACTTATGGTATTTTAAAGCTGCAGGAAAAGAGTAGGGAGCAATTCTATCTTCCTGAGTGTCACGATCCTGCAACCCTCTGGGATGCTTCCCAGGCAAACCGAATTAGAATCTCTAAGTGTGGAGTGTAGGAATCTGTATTTTCAGCAGGCACTCCTGGGTCATTGTCAAGTTTGAGGACCATTCCTAGAGCGGGGAAGTGGGCTCCTTGGGTAGACATGTTTGCAGTGAACAAACAGATAAGTCAGGCCTTGGGTCAGGAGCCCATTCCCTGCCCAGTTAAAGTTTCCCTTTCCGGCCCCCACCCCGCCCAGGAGCCGCCTGGTCCTGGGGGCCTCTGAAGCCTTTTACTTCCTGGTGAACAATAAGAGCCTGGTCAGCATCAGTGTGACCATGGCAGAGGTCTACAGGGACTACCAGAATGAGGACGGCCTCGTGTACGTGACCTACGCCTCCCAGGAGATGTTCGACTGCCTGGGCTCCGGGAAGACCCTGCCGTCCTCTGCAGAGCATGTCTAGAACCTGTTCTCAAACCTGAGGAGACATGGACCAGCCCCAGTGTGTGCGGCAGGCAGTGATCAGCACCAGCCATCACAGGGACACCTGGCCACCCCTGTCTCCTTTGTGAGGCTCCAGGCTCCCATGTGCTCCATGTAAGATGGCATGCTCGCTCTTGGGAATCGTGTAAATAGTAAGTCCTTTCTAAGTAGATCTTTATGGTTCTCCGACGATGAGCCGGAGAAGGATCTAAGTGTCTTCTGTGGTGGAGGCCGGCAGGCTCTTGGGGAGTCTGGTGTCACCCCGTGTGGGCAGGAGTCCTGTGTGAGCTCGGTCATTGAGAACTTCAGCCTGAGGACGGGTCTCAGGGGAACCCCCGCGTTCTTCAGGGGGCAGGGGTCCTTATCTGTGTCGTTCCGGAGACAATTATTGTATTTTCACAGCCTTCACTCCACCTTCTTTTCTCTCAGATTCTGTTTTATCTGTTTATACCATATGGATTTATGCCAAAGATACAACTGTTCAGTATAGAGTCACTTAACTCGTACGTGTTTGCTCTGTGCCAGCTATGTAAGCAGGCCACGTGTCTTAGTGTTTCATCACAACTCTCTCTGGTTAATTATCATTATCACCATTTCACAATGAGGAAACTGAGGCCCAGAGAGATAAAAAATGTTTTCCAAATTCACACAACACGATCTGCTGGGACTCGAGCCCAGAGAGTCTGGCTTTGGAAGCCACACTCCTAGCCCTCTGCGAGGCCCTCCATCTGATGAGGTTACTCTGAGAGTTCAGACTGGCCGCTTGAGCCACAGAGCCCACTTTCATCAACTTAGCCCACCAGGGAGACTTGCAACCTGGGGAGTGTAGCAGAGTTCGGAACTCGTGGAACAAGTGACAGTGGGTGTTTGGGTTAGCAGCTGCAGCACCAAGTATGCGCACTCCAACTGTGCTTGGAGGGTATTCGTCAGGGAAGGCTTTGTAGGGTGTTCCACTTGAGCTGGGTTTTGAAGCACGGATAAGAGTTTGTCTAGAAAGGAATTTTATTTATTTATATTCAACATACATTTATTGAGCACTTACTGAAAGGGAAGTCCTATCCTAGGTGCTGGAAAGACAACACTGACCAAGACAGGTAAGGTCCCAGACCTCAGGGGTCACAATTGATTCTAGGAAGGGAAGAAGGACAGTATTCAAGATGAGTTTCCATGCTTATAAGTACAATAAAGAAAAACAAAACAAAACAGAAGGTAATTAGCAGATTTAATCCTTTATGTAGGAGGGTCAGAGAGAGCTTCTGGAAGGGAGGAACTTTCACTTGGACCCGAATGATGACAAGGAGCCGGTGGTGGAGGCTAAGCACGCCAGGGGGAAGGGTGGCTGTGAGGTCCAAAGGTTTGAGAGCTTTACAAACGGAAAGGGTTCCAGCGTGGTTGCAGCCAGGGAAGGGGAGAGAAGCTAGGCAGGGGCCAGTCCTACAGGGTCGACTTTGCTAAGGTGTTAGGGTTTTATTTTAAGGTTGGTAAGTGGGAAAGGAGAAGCATTCTAACTGGAGAGAGAGAGAGACAGAGACAGAGACAGAGAGAGAGAGAGAGACTCAGTGAAGGTGTGATCTCCCTAACATCCCCCAGTGGCACTGAGATGGCCTTTGCCCTCTGCTCACTCCTGGGTCCATGGATCCGTGGATCCATCGTCCTGCTCCAGGCTGCATTTCACTGCTCCCAGGCACCAGCCAGCCCACTCTCCTGCCTGTGGCTGTCCTTCCCATGCCCAGCTTGCCTGGTCTCCTGCTCTACTCACTTCCTCTAACACCCATCCATCAAGTCCTCTCTGCCATCTGCTGAGTGAAACAGCGCCTCCCAGATTTGTTCTCCAGATGTATCCTTTGCTTCACCTTGAGCAGAGAATATTCTTCCTAAATGAGTCCATTTCCCAAGATTGACTTTGACTTTGAGAGCTGGTTGGCCCTGGACATCCACATAACTGGCCGTGCCCGGGGCTGGTGCTCTTGCTTCCAGTCTTACCCATCCCTGCGGCTGCTCTTGAATCCAGCATCTAAGATTATCATCCCTCTGGATTGTAGCTGGGTGAGCTGCTGTGCTCTGTTTTGTCTCCAAGACCCTTCCCGATATGGCTTCCCTCCTGCATCGACCTCAGGCTGCCTCGTTTGTGGTGGACAGTGTCCAGTTTCCTGCTGTATAACCAACCAGCCCAAGTTCAGTGCATGAAACCATCACGGCTTTTTTGCACTTATGGAGTCTGTGAGTAAAGATACCAGAAAGTGCACAGTGGCAACAGCTCCCTGCTGTCTGGGGACTCAGCTGGGAGACCCGAGGGCTGGGAGTGACTTGAACGGCTGGGAGCTGGGATCATCTGGAGGCGTCTTTGGTCTCACGTCTGACTCCTGGGCTAGGATGACTCAAGGCCAGGCCCAGCTGAGACAAGAGGAGCTCCATGTGCCTCTCCCAGTGTGGGTTCCAGGATGGCCATCCTCAGAAGGAGAAGTGGAAGGGCATGTGATCCGAGGAACCAAGACCACAGCTGACCTGTCCCTAGGTGATGAAGTCCAATTGATTTTGGTCCGGATTTTTTTTCCTTTATTTTCTTAGCATCTACTCAGATGCATAAGATTAAATGGCAATGTGTACTTCTGTAAATTATGACTACTTTTCTGTTACAGTATTCATCATTGTCTATTGATTTTTACGAGCTCACAAAGTTGAGTGATTCCCTCTTTGTATACCATATGTATTAAAAATAATTACCCAGTTCCTTTGGTCTTGTTTATGGCAGACTGTCTTACATAACTCCTTTTTATTCTTCTGTGATCTTTTCCTTGTGGATTCTGAGTTCATGTTCTCAATAGAAAGTTTCTCCTAACTCCGCGATTATAAAAAGTATATACCCATCCTGTGTTTACTTCTAGCACTATGTTTCCATTTTGTTTACATTTAAGTATTTGAATGAAGTGGAATTTATTTTGGTAACAAAAGAAAGTATGCAGTTTCAATGCTTAACCAAGTGTTACCAGCACTTTTAATAAGTTGTCCATGGTATTTGAATTCGCTGTGGTTATGCGTTTTTGTCTTAGTACCATAATAACAAAAGAATGCTTAAGAACAATGGACTGTGGCCTTCCTTTTTTGGATTCCGCATGGCTTTTGGTAATGCTAAACACATTTGGCTAATCAATGCTTGGTGATAGATTAGACAACCTGAGCTGTCCACTTCAGAGGGAGATACTAGAATGATGGGATTGTGCCATTGCTTGTTTTTACAATGATCAGCTCAGCCAGGAAACCATTTTGGTTTTAGTGCCTGTTTCTGGGCAGGAACCATCCTCTCCCATAAAACCAAAGAGGATCAGATAAAAATGCATCTGCTTATGTCACAGCTATCACAGAATCTACAGCTGATCTGATGCACTTGACTGCCTAGACCAGAGATAAGCAAACAGTAGCCTACTGCCTCCAGCCATCTGACATGGGCTATTTTTGTAAGTACAGTACTTCTGGAATACAGTCATGCCATTTCTTCACCACGGGCTCTGGCTGCTACTGTGCGACAATGACAGAGTTGAGTATTTGTGACATAGACCATATAACCTGCAAAGCCAAAAATGTTTACTGTCTGACCCTTCACAGAGGAAGTTTGCTGATCCCCTAGTCCAGGTTTACAGTATAATTTTATCATCAAGATGTCCTGGGGGATAAATCACATTAAGAACTTTCTTTTCATTGTTGTTGTTTTGGTCCTATATAAGATGAGAAGGAAATTTCCCAGTCGCTGGATTCATTGATTTTGTGTTGCTAAGTCCTTGACTGGAGGCGCTGAATGTAGACACATACAGTTCTCCACCGGCCAAAAGGTACTACTAATCATGGTTCATATTCACCAGTCTCCTCCAGGCCCACTCACCCTTCATTTGCCTCTGAAATATGGATGGGGGATTTCTAGTGTGAACTGTTTCCTTTCAGGAACAAAAGAAACCAGTTCATACCCTTTTCCCAGCCAACTCCCTTTGGGTTAGGAGACCTCAGCTGCTCACAGTACACAGGCCCATCACACAAGACTAAATCCAGGGCAGGGCTTTCCAACCTGTGCACAACTGGAATTTGGGTAAGTAATTCTCTGTTGTGGAGGCTGCCGTGGTATCATAGGAGACTAACAGCACCCCTAGCTTCTGTTTACCGAAGCCGGTAGCACTGTCCCCTCACCCCAGTAGTGACACCAAAAAAATCTCCAGCCATTGTCAAATGTCCTCTGGGGGGTGAAATTGCTCCCTGCTCAAAACCACAGTTCAAGTTCACTCTAGACCAGAAGTGTGGTCTGTAGACAAGCAGGTCAGCCTGACCTAGGAGTTTATTAAAAATGCAGAAGTTCAGGGCTGTCTCCAGACCCATTGAGTCAGAACCTACAATCTGTCAAGATCCCGCAGGTGATTCACGGGCACTTTAGAGTTTGAGAAGCACGGGCCCAGACATTATGGGTAGTAACAGCCCTGAGGCTTTCTCCCCCCTCTTCAGAAAGTGCTCCACCTACACCCTCCTCTCTCAACTTTGTGAGCACACAATTTGGCACACACACTCTGGTGTCCTGGGATGAGCCGGAACTTTGTCATCTGACAAACCTAGGTTCAAAAGAAGAGTCTGCCCCTGTGTGTCTGGGGGATTATTTAATCGACGTCAGTGCCCTCATCCGAAAAATCTCTCGTTTGTGTTTCAGAACACGTGGGCCTTCTGAGCAGGTTATTGACGAAAGATCAGCACACTTTTGGTATCAAAGTTTTTAAATCACATATGAACGTTTCTCACAAGTGATGAAGTCACAAAGGCAGCAAGGCTCCCCCTAGCAAGACCATACCCGGAGCGGCTTCCTCTACCCTATGAACTCACTAGTTCAGAACTCAAGGGTCTCCATTGACATTTATGTCAGAGCCGACAAGTGCCACCAGGTGGCGCCAACACCACTTCATTAGGTTTAGAAATTGCCAAGCAGTTTGCTGCCAATAAAGCTAAATC